ATGCATTTTAATTCATTGTTGAAATTTGTGATGTTTTTTTTAAACCGGTAAAATGAGTTTGATGATAGAATTGGTTTGTTTTATTAGTTGGACAAGAGAAGAATCCAACATTTTTACATAAATGAGGGAAAAGTTCTGGAAAACGTTTTGGTGAAATAAATTTAGGACAATATTACCAGAAAATTCCAGAAAAAGGAGCAGAAGAAGTGACGGATCTTCTTCATGGAGTCTGTGGTTCAGTGAGACTAATCCTGATATGATTAGATATTTGTTTATGTGTGATTTTATAAATATTTTCTGTGGTTGAATAATTTTCTGGATATTGGTCAGCCGACGCATCCTGCTGCTGTAACTCTAAACCTTCAGAATCTTTAACAGGAACATTTTGGACCTGCTCCTGTTTTTATGGCGGATTCATTGATTAATGCCTCAGGGTCAGGCACAGCGACCTTTGACCCAGATTTGGGTTGGGGTTAGCTTTAGCTCACACCTGGAGGAAACACCTGAATGATGCTGACTGGGCAGTTCCAGTGAAGCTCTGTGTGTCTGCTGCCACCTGCTGGCCATCTGCAGCTGTTATATTCTCTGTCCAATCAGGAGGAGGCTTTGGAGCGGAGCTTTCAGCCATTGGTGGACAGCGCCTCCTCCCTCTGCACTAACAAGGAGGAAGAGGATGCGGATGAATACGTTAGAGGAGAAGAGACGAGGTAGGCCATGCCCTGTCAGGGTCAAAGGTCGGTTCTGACTCCTGGACCCAGCAGTCTGGGGTAATGAACCCGGCTGTACCAAGGAGAACCCATTTCTGGTACCAGTCTCTCCTCCAGAACCTTCAGAAGCTCTCAGGTTTTCCTGGTTTCCTCTGGACTCCGCCCACCTGAGGCAGGCTGAGTTCTGGAGCTTCAGATTCCAGAATGGACCCAGTAGAACCTGAGATGGTTCTTCTGAAGGTTCTGGCCTGGTTCAGCTGCAGGGGAGAGATGACCTGGTTCACTTGTGGGTTTCCCTGGTAACAGCTGACTCCTGTCCTCCAGGTTCTCCTTCAACCCTGAAGGAGGAGACGAGACGCTCCTCGGCCAATCAGACGCCAGCAGGGGGCGGAGCCTGATCCAACAGGTAGGAAGCACAGGTAGATGCCTGGAGCTGCTTCTGAACCAGAACCAGAACCAGGTCCATCTCTACTGAAACACTAAAATACTTAAGTATTTTTAGTAACTACACTAAAAGATTTGAGTTCTGGTTCTGGTTCTGATCCAGATGAGGGAGGAGAACTCGGCGCTGAGGCGGAGCGTCAGGGAGCTGCAGAGGAGAGCTGAGCTCCATCAGTCCAGGTGAGTGGCAACCGACAAATCACAGTGCGGCATGGCGACCTGTTTACCCAGCGTGCCTTGCTGCAGGGCGAGGCGGCTCTCTGAGGAGCTGCAGCAGAGGAGGCGCCAGGAGGAGCAGGAGGCGCAGGACTTGGAGAGCATGGTGCAGTCAGTGGAGCAGAACCTGCAGCTGATGAAGGTAAGGAGGAGGAGGAGGAAGATTGGCTCACACCTGGACTGACGGGTGTGTGTGTGTGTGTGTTACAGAGGCGAGCAGTGAAGGCTGAGAGCAGTGTTTCCAGACTGAAGGCGGAGCTTCAGCAGCTTCAGGTAAACCTGGATCCAGGTGTGTGTTGGTCCTTACCAACACACCACAGACACACTATACACACACAAGCTCTAGACAGGAAGCCCAACATGGAGCCTCTAACTCAGGGGTGGGCAATCCTGGTCCTGGAGGGCCGGAGTCCTGCAGCTCTTAATGTCTCCCTGGTCCAACACACTTGGATCCAACAGCTGAATCACCTCCTCAGTGCAGCCAGGTTCTCCAGAGTTCTGATAACGACCTCATTTTTGACTCAGGTGTGTTGAAGTTGAGATGGATCTAAAAGTTGCAGGAGACCCTCCAAGCCTGGAGCTGCCCAGCCATGCTCTAGGTCAGGGGTCCCCAAAGTGGGTCCTGGAGGCATCCTGCATGTTTTATGCTCTCCCTGGTTTAACGCACCTGGATCAAATGATGGATCATTAGAGGCCTAAGAGGAACATTGACCTGCTGAAAAGGTCGTTACTACCAGGGAGAGAATCAAACGTGCAGGATGCCGGGCCTCCAGGACCCACTTTGGGCCCCCCTGCTGTAGAGGGTTGAGGAACACCTGGGGGCTCATCCAGGATCTTTCTGTTCAACTAGGAACAGTTCCTCCAGAAAAACAGCTGAAGAGTTCCTCACTGATCCCACTGGGCCAAAGATACTGACCCATTCAGGTTCAACCAGCAGAACCTGGACAGAACTGCCTGATATGGCCTGACAGCAGTGTGTGCGTGTGTGTGTGCGTGTGTGTGTGTGTGTGTATGTGTGTTTAGGTGGAGGTAGACACTCTGCGATCAGAAAACAACCGTCTGAAGGCTGCTGAATCTGAGGTCGTCATGACGATGAGACAAAACGCTCAGGTGGCGGCTGAGTACTTGAGCAAGTCAGTAAGCCACGCCCACTCCTCCATAAGGTCAGTATCCGCAGGAACTGAGTGGGCGGAGCCAGCAGGGCTAAATTTGAGACGTGTTTAATCAAAACAATCCATGTGATTGTAAATGCTAATGCTACCATTATCATTGGCAACGTCCGCCACACTTAAAGTGCACTGAGCATGTGCACCATGTTGAGGTTGGGGCTCGTAAAAAATCATTATAATTGATCATAACACTTCCTGGTCCCAGATGACATAAAGTGACGTTCGTGCCACTCTGAGCTGCTTCTCTAGCTCCCCCTCTGGAAACTTCTGGTGTGACAAGTCCAAGTTCCAGATGCTCTCAGCCTCTCCAGATGTTCAGGTCCCAGAGGCCGGAGCTGAGGCGCCATTGGCTGCTTCAGGTCATGTGACCACAGCAGCTCAGTGGTTTTCATGAGTTCACTCTCTAATGCAGTTTCTCCACCTTCCACCAGTTGGAGCCGAGTTCTCACTGACCTTTCACCTTTGTGTGTGTGCAGGCAGCTGCTGGAGGAAGCAGAAACTCTCCGTTTGGTCTCTCAGCTCCTCCAGTCCATCGATAAGATCTCCAGTGTTCAGCCTGAGGGTGCAGTTGCCATGGAAACTGTGGAGTCAGCACCCTGAGGTTTTATTTTAAGAGAGGAAAGATGGAGGAGGTTCAGCTTCAGATCTCTCCTCCTGGACTCCAAGTTTTTACTGTTATTGCTTTGATTTCTGTGAGATGATGATGATGATGATGGTGGTGGTGATGAAGATCTGGAGGTTTCAGCACTGAGCTCTCCTCCTCCAGGTTCTGAGTAAAATGACCAGATATGAGAAAATGATTCATTTATTTTATTTTCCGTTACAAAGGTTTGGTTTGAACTCTGACCTCTGCTAAAGTTTTGACCTTGACTTTGATGTAAACCTGCAGGATCAATAACTGTTCCTTCTGATCTCTTTTAATAAATAAAAACCTGATCGAATCTCTGTAAACTGGAGAGACGCTGCTTTGTTCCAGAAAGTAAAATCTAGACCCGACCTACTAGGAACTGATCCTCACCCAATCAGGACGCTCCGTGTCCTGAGCCAATCAGGACGCTCCGTGTCCTCAGCACAAACATATTGGAAAATAAAAGCCTGTGTTGTCCATGTTGGTGAAACACGGCGCTGCCCTCAACAAGAACAAACAGGATCTGGACCAGGTTGGAGAACTGGTTCATCAGATTAACCTGGTTTAGATTAAACCAGTTCAGATTAAACTGATCTGTGTCATGTTGAGGTTAATTTGACGAACCCACATGCGCAGAACGCACTCAGGAGAACCGGTAAGGATTAAGTCGATTTATTGAATACAGTGAGAACAGATATATTTATATACACTAGATGGTCTGGAACTGGTGCTCGTCCTCGGTGGTTCAGGTTCTTTGTTGAGGATTACGTCTGAGCTCGGGAAGGAGTACCGCAGGGATCCGAGGCTGCAGGCTGGACAGAGGGCCGGAGCTTCTCGAGAGGGCGGACAGGTGAGTTGGAGGGAGACGTCAGAATAGGAGCCGGGAGGGAGCCGCTAGACCGGGGAGCTGCCGAGGTTCAATGAACTCAGGATTTCACGGAAGATGACCTAGGAGAGTCAGCACAGAAGGAGATCACTTAGGAGAACAGGTTGGTCGGAGGTGAGCTATCTATGATTTACCATCACAGGCTAACACTCTGGCACCGGAGTGTCGGCGGCTCCGTCCTGATAAACCCCTCCAAATGATGGTAAGTGGCAGCAGGTGTGCAGCTCCAGGTTCACGCCCACCAGAAGGGCCCAGGATGCCCCCTGGTGGAGAAACTAGAGACCCCCAACCAGCCTTCCCCAGATCCTAACAATCTGTAACTGATCTATAACTGATCTATATCAGATCTGTAGCAGATCTATGTGGTGCCAGATTTATTTGGCCCTGAAGCAGAACGATGTCCATCCCATCAAACATCTCCTGCCATGTCTCCGTGATATTAAAGGCTTTGAACTTTTTAAATTTTAATGAAAACAAAACAGAGGTGATGGTGTTTGGACCCAGTGGCTCCTGTGAGTCCTCCTCTGTGGACCTGGGACCCTTGGAGGTATATTTTAAACCTGTTATTACAGATCTTGGTTTTAAGGTGGACAGTGATTTCAAATTGGACAGCCAAATCAGAGCCGTGGGTAAGTCCAGTTTTTATCATTTAAGGCCATTGGCATCAGTGAAATCTTTTCTTTCCAGGCAGCATTTTGAAACACTGATCCACGCTTTTATTTTGACTCGATTGGATTACTGTAACTCACTTTATCTGGGAGTCAGTCAGTCGCTGCTCTCACGTCTGCAGCTGGATCAGAATGCTGCTGCATGACTTTTGACAGGAACTCGAAAGAGAGAGCAAGTGACCCCTGTCCTGGCCTCACTACACTGGCTGCCTGTATATTTTAGGATTCATTTTAAAATTCTTATGTTTGTTTTTAAATCGCTGCATAATTTTGCCCCCGCTTTCCTCTCTGAGCTTCTTCACCCCCACATACCCCATCGGTCTCTCAGGGCAGATCAGCTGCTCCTGGAGGAACCGAGGTCCAGCAGGAAGCTCAGAGGGGACAGGGCCTAACCCTGGCATCACTGCATGTCTGCTTGTTTTAGATCTGGATCATAGAAACCTGGATTTGTTTTTAGATTCTCTTTAAATCCATTTCCTGTTGAAAACAGAACATCGGTCCACTTTGACCCATTTAGCAGAATCCAGAAAGTTCTGGACCCCAGAGAGGGAAACAGAAAGGATGCCAGAGCGCCACATGACCCTGAGGTCGCATGACCCTGAGGTTCTGACCCGAAAGAGAAGTGAATCTGCTGAAAACAGGAATTTCCTGCTGAGCTCCGGTTAAAGATGGGCCAGTAGGACCAGAACTCTTGGGAAGGTTCTGACTGGTTCCAGTCTGCATTACTGGACCCAGAACATTTAATTCCTGTAAAGTGTTCAGTCCAAACAAGCCGGCACCCAGTCAGACAGAACAACCCAAAAGAACCGAACCAGAACCATTAACCTGTGATGGAGGTTCTGCCTGGATTTGTTTGTCCATGTTTGACTTTTGGGTCCAGGTTCTTGACGGCGATCTGATTCACCTGAAGAAACTGGTTATTAATCATTTAATTCACAGTAAATTATTAATTAGTTATTAATCAGTTATGAATCAGTTATGAATCAGTTCATGAGCCAAACATCGCTGAGTCTGTAGGTTCCCAGCAGGTCTGAGTCAGACTGCGGCTCTGGCTGGCGTTCCTGGGGGCCCGGCGTTCCTCGGGGCCCGGCGTTCCTCGGGGTCGGGGTTAATGTTGCTTCCCAACTGTGTGTCTGAGGCTCTAGCCGTCGCTGTACTCCAGAGCTCCTCAGGGTTCTGGGAACCTGTGAGGTTCCACAAACCTGTGGGCATAAAAATGCTTCATCAGCATTAAAACTGTCTAGTTTGGATCTTCCAGAAGCCAAGAAGAGGAATTGGGGATTTCCTGAAAACATTTAGCCTGCCGTCAGCAGGTTTCCTTTGGCTCTGCTCCGAGGATTTAAACCCAGATGGATGAGCTGGAGGCATCAGAGCTCTGGAGACACGTAAGTGACTTTAACTGTTCTGTCAGTTTGATGTGATGAACTTAGAACCAAACTGGTTCACATTTAATCTGATTTTCTATGATATGAGTTTATAACCTGGAAATGATTTTTTTTTTGGTTCTGAGTTTCATCCAGATTCAAACCGTCTGGTTTTCCTTCCACAGCGTTAGGACAGTGTAGAAGTGCTACACTGTCTTTGTGGAGCAGACGTTGGTTTCCTGTAGCGATGATTGAATCTGTCGGATGTTTCCTGTTTCTCATTCTGGGTTTCTCTTGATGCAGCAGCTGAAGATGCCACAGCACATCACCGACATCGACATTTCTGTGAACCATGCCGAGGAGAAACAGCTACGGAAACTTGGCTTCACTCAGATCCATGTGGACCTGAACTCCGACACTGGAGGAAACCCAGTATACCTCTGGTACAAAACCAGTGACTGTCCCGCCATCACCAGGATCCAGTTCTCCTTCACCGATGAGATGAGAGAAGGTCTGGTCACCGAAGGGTACCACAAGGTGGACAAAAACCTCAACAACGGAAACAGCGGCAGCGCCATCTACCTGTGGTTCTTCAAAGGCTGCACTGATTACGACGTCCCGGTGGTGGAACTGGACGTCTCCACCGATGCCCAGAGCGACGCCATGAAGGTCCAGCCGCTGTGGGAGCGGTCAGCCTGCGACCTGAACCGCCGGGCCGGAGGGAAGTGGATCTACCTGTGGATGAAGAGGGAGAGGCAGACCTACATCAGCGACATCACAGCCACCACCGACACATCTCTGGACTCCAGCCTGTTCCGCCAAGGCTACACCCGAATGGACGAACACACCAACAGAGACGCAGGCGGGACTTTCGTCTTCCTCTGGTACCGGCGGACCACTGACAGCCAGAAGGCCATCAGAGACCTGCAGGTCTCCACTGACGGGGAGTCTGAGGAGAGTTTCCAGAACCAGAACTACCAGCAGGTGGAGCTGGACCTGAACCAGGGAACCAAAGGAAGCCCGGTGTACCTGTGGTTCAAGACCGAGGAGTGCAGCAAAGCGCCCATCAAGATGGTGTCCCTGCTCCTTGACACCAACGCTGTGGAGCCCTACATGAATGCTGGCGTAGAGGTCATCGAGAAAAACCTCAACAATGCTGGCTGCAAAGAGTTCCTGTGCTTTAACTAGGCTGCAGTGTTTCTGAGCATGCTCAGTGGGAGAAATGATCCCATCAATCTGATCATATCTGTTATCATCTCTGAATCTTAATAAAGCATCTGATCATGTCTGCTGCTAGTTTCATCATTTTATAACAGCAGAACCCTCAGCTGCAGGTCAAAGGTCAGCTGCAGCCCTGCTGTGGCTGAGCAGATGCGTTCCTCCTGCCCACCACCAGGGGGCGTGTCTGAGTGGTTTTGTAGCAAATTGGGTGATGAAAAGCCATTTTAAACCAATAGAAAAATGTAAGTGCTGCTGCACCGTTTGACCTAAAGAGGGCAGCACTGAGACGGTTTTAGGCAAAATAAAGCATAATTTAATTAATTTATATTAAAATGTCAAAATTCAAAAAGAAACAAAACCGCAGAATCATCAATGATGCAGACAGCTTATAAACAGACACTGACAACATAAACAATTTCCATTGAAAACTAAATTATTGACTAATCATCTCAACATGGAAAGCTTTTTAGCTTAGACTTTGTTCTCCTGCCATCAGACTGAGCAACGCCTTGCTTTAGCCATCAGGCTTTAGCCATCAGACTGAGCAACGCCTTGCTTTAGCCATCAGACTGAGCAACGCCTTGCTTTAGCCATCAGGCTTTAGCCATCAGACTGAGCAACGCCTTGCTTTAGCCATCAGACTGAGCAACGCCTTGCTTTAGCCATCAGGCTTTAGCCATCAGACTGAGCAACGCCTTGCTTTAGCCATCAGACTGAGCAACGCCTTGCTTTAGCCATCAGACTGAGCAACGCGTTGCTTTAGCCGCTCGGCGCTCCAGAGTTTCAGGAAGTGTTGATCGTTCATGCAGTTTCTCTTACATTCTGAACTGAACTGGTTTAAGTCCTTTTGAATGGAGCCTCCAGCCAGTTGGAGCGGCTTCGTCCTCCATTGCTGTTAGCGGATGTCACCTGTGCGTCAGATTCACAGGCGTACCAGAAACACAACACAAAGTTCTGGCTCCTGACTTTAGTTTGTAAAAGCAGAAACTGTGTTAATATTTTTTTAAATCTATGGAACTGATTCGTAATCGATCATGTTCAGCCCTATTTTGATGAAATAAACTGAGTTGAATTTTCCAGGACAAGATGACCCGGTTCTGTCTGAATTCAGTTCATTTACTCATCTGAATACCCAATAGGACGAAACACATTAACAATAAAAATCAGACCACAGGTTGTTATTTCATTCCTTTGGCTGAAACATGATAAACTGCCTCGTTCTGCCTTAAATCACAGATGTCAAACTCCTCCTGCAGGACAGTGGAGGACTGGAGTCTGACATCCTGCCTTAAATCAAACTGGCTGCATTACTTTGATAGATTTAAGCTTTTTTTGTTAAGGTAGCAAATATCTAATTATATTTCTCTGTGTGACTCTTATGTTAATGAGAAGAGTTTGAATGGGAGCAGCTGAGCTACAACTAGCCGACAGCTCAGTGTGTGGGAGCTGAGACAGAGAAACAGAAATGTCTGCTTTTATTTCTTACCATCTTCAACATAGAGCCTCTAAAAACACACACTCACAAATCTGGATATTTTTCTATAAAAACTCTGGTGCTTTGAGTGTTAAGTTGAAGTTATGATTCTCCCCAGATCCTCATTATTTCTACAGATTCTCAGCCAGGACACAGAACCAAAAAAGATTTAAACATAAAGCAACTTAGCAAGTTATAATTTAAATAACAGATAACTTGTATTGAGAGCCAGTACAATAAATCAATATTTATGAGGAATTTTATCAAGTGGAGTTACTCATTAAAACTTTTTTATGTATAGCCTTAAATTTTCA